GAATAAAACCCGACCCATATACCCTATTAGAATTTTTCATCAGCATTGAGTTTTTATTAAAATACTATCTAAATACAAATTCAAGTTTTGACTCACTCAAACACAAACTCAAAAAGATTCTTTTCTCAAACCATAACTAAAATGTACACAACCAAATACAAACTCAAGTTACAAGTTCAACTATAACTCAAATTCAACTCAAGAATTATACTCAAGTTAAACTTTAAAAGAACAAGCCCAAAGTTTTGCCCACTTTTCAAGCGTTGCATAAATTTACTATGATGAAGCGTAAGTTTTTACAAAAGAAAAACACACATCTCTCAACTTCGTGTTTTTTCTTCATGTGTTATTTCTACATAAAGCAATAAAAACCTTGACTGTTTAAATTTAATTTATGGCAAGGTAATTTTTTGTGCTACAATGAAGTAATTGTCTTTTTTGATTTTATGAAGCTATTTTTGTTGGATGAAATCACTTTAGCATCTTTCTCTTCCAGCTAAAATTTCATATTTAGATTAAAAAGAAATATTTTTGTGTGTCGGCTTTTTCTGTAGATAACTACAATACTCTCATTTTCGTATGATACATAATAGTGACTCCTTTGTTAACAGATCATCTATTTTCATACACAATCTAGCACGAGAATGGTACACAGGAGTTCTAAGATAAATAAAACGGCAAAACACAAGGAGGTTTATAAAAAATAGATTGTTTTTGTGCCCAAAAATGAATATTACGGCAACAATAAAATATTTAACTTAATTAGACAAGAAAATGAGACAAATATCTTTTGAATTTTTATTTCATATTCTTGATTAATATATTTTTAGTTAAATAACTATATTAGTCAAAATGATATTTATTACTCAAAAGTAAGCGGTAAAATTTTAGATTCATGTACTTTAAAAGTAAGTTTAACAATATTCTCTCATTAGACTCAATAACTCCACCAAAAATAGATCCGACCCCACCTATGCTCACATATTAAGAGGAAAAAAAATCACAGATTCTATCATCTTAAGTACTTAACTTACTAAAAGTATCATTTTATAAATAAAAAAAACTATACTCATTGACTAATTCTAATGTAAAAGATAAAAAATATATGAGAAGCTCTATTTTAAGGGCTATTTTTAAAAATTGTCCCAATGGAAAATGTTAAGCTCATCCAAGTCCGAGCAAGTGTAAAGTGGACTGGCCTTTCCCAGCCCATCTTGATCTACTTCAGCCCATCTTGGTCTACTTTATGCCTCTATAGAGTTCTCGGCACTGGTCCTTCATAGATGGACTTCAATTCTTTTCTGTTAGCTACTCCTGCCTCTTGTGATCTTGTCTTCTTATAAAAAAGCCTATAAGATCTCTTTGATTCTTTAGGCCTATCTCATTGCCTATTGTCTTGTTATAAAAGCCTATAAGATCTCTTTGATTCTTTAGGCCCATCTCATTGTAGTTCTTAGCACATTGTTTTATCAGAAAATGTAGTAAATAACATATTTATAAAATTAAATTAAATAAATAATAAATTTTAAAATCATTTGAAGTAAATTTATTATTTTACATAATAAATGAGAGTAAATAGTTTATTTATGACTAGTAAAAATATTTTTTTAAGTAAATTTTCTTTCTACCACTAATAAAAAGATTTAAATAAAGATTTTTTAAGAGTTTTTACCACGCAAGTTATCTTTTATCAGTAGTAAATGAATCATTTACAATTTACCATATAAATTGTTATTTACTTCAAATAGTTTTAAAATATATTATTTACTTAATTTAGTTTTAAAAATATGTTATTTACTATAATTTTCCTTATACTTAAAAGTGAAAAGGGCATTTGGAAAAAGGGTAGGCCATAGCCCATGAGAAAATTCCTTAGTCCCACTAGTGCATTGTCCATCATAACCACCGTTCTAATGGGGTCAAGAAATTTTGCTTCTAGTTTGCCCACATGAAATGGAATAGTGTAATGGACCATAGTCAGCACAGACTCCCATGGCATCAAAATCCAATAAAGTCTTCTTGACCTGTCTGTCTAATTCTCCCTAATTTTCTGGCCTGGATAAAAGCACTCAATTGAATAAGGAACCTTACTTGGACCACTAAACAAGGATATAAAGTCTAAACTCTTAAGTTTTGTTCATTTCATCTATTTAATTTTTTAATTCTAATTTTATTATAATTAAATTTTTTTTATAAAAAGTCACATTTAATTTTTTATGTTACGGTTAAAAGTTTTCACATAAAATGATATTTCAGTTTAAATTAAAAACTCAAATCGATAAACTAAATGAGGCAAATGACCCAAACGTCAATTTCTCTTTTTTTTGTTGGATGTACCTAATTCAATTTTCAACACTTGAATTTTCATCTAAAAGATGAAAACTTCTTTGAGAAATACTAGGATCACTATTTTTACCATTTTTACGTTCGTTGTTTGACACATGGAGTCTACTATCTCATTTTTTATTTAAATAATAATATACAATGTCATCAGTGGAGTGCACGTGTCAAACAAAGAATGCATAGACTGGCGAAAAGATTGACAAAAAGAGTGATGATAGCATTTTTTAAACTTCTTTTTAACGGTTGGTATCGTTTTGTTTTTTGTTTTAACATCATTTAGTAGTCCAAAATAGAGGGACATGACACAACTTAAATTTTTGAAACGTACCATGTATAGTTTTCACGAAAACATTGCAATGCATAATGCAAATATCCACCGACGTTTTGCAGAAACGATGCCATTTTGTGGGATTCTTTCTGAACACAATGGTGGTACGAGCATCACCACAAAAAATGGGGTATCTAAGAGATTCCCAAGGTCTAACGCATAAGATCCACCCACATGGTTTTCAGCAACTACCTATTTTCTGAAGACAAGTATAGCTAAAGACAACCATAAATGGCACACATCATAGCCATTTGGTCATGTACTCATGTTCAATATTAGAAGTTGGTACAAAACAAGCACAAGCACAATGGACAAATTTTAATGGACAAAACAAGCACAAGTGACAGCCCACTTGGTTGGCAACAGACACAAATTTTAATGGGCACAGTTTCACACACAACATTCAAATGAGTCCGGCTTTGCAATAAGTAAGGGTTCGTTTGGTACGTTGATTCAAATCAGAGTGATTCTAATCATGATTCTGAAGCCAGAATTATAATTCATGATTTTAGGTTCAAATCATTATTCTGAAACTATGATTCAGAATTAAGGGTTTGAATCACCTTGAATCAAGAGAGGAATGATTTTAAAATCATGAGTGATTCTGGTTTAAAACATCACATCAGATTTTGAATCATGATTCAGAATCATCCAAACTAAATACTGATTCTGAATGATGATTCAGAATCACTATAAACAAACACTAATTCAGAATCATGATCTAGAACTAGAATCATGATTCTGAATTTATCTACCAAACACTCCTTAAAAGCTTCTGCAATTTGTCGATTCTTCTAGAACAGGAATATTTGTCTAGTATATACGTTATTCTGAGGAGGAAAACGATGCCACGATTTTATGAATGTGTGATGTGCTCTCATTTGCTCACGGTCTTTATCAAACATCATTATCGATGTTCTTAGCATTATAATTGGCATATAATTACAAGCATTTGTGATTAGTATTACAGCCTGGCTGCTTAAACGAATATGAAGGAAATAGGCTCCATATGGACCATATCTCTTACATCAGCCACAGAAACAAGATCAACTGAAATATGCTAATACTCGACATCTAAGGTAATTAATTATGGTTTGTTAAATTAACTTGGACTCAAATATGTTGTGGAATTTTTGTTGTACCAATTGGTGTCTAATCAATTACAATGGGACACGTGATTTAATATATTTAAATATCAAAACAACAAAAAGTTAATTAAAGAGATATTGCAATTTTTTAAATGATGTGGCACAATTTGATTGATTAAACACTATTCTACACACTAAAATTTGACATGTGATTTGAATCCACAAACCTTTACCTATTTAACCGTTCATTTCGTTGATTCGAGTTTAGAATTCGAGTTTTGCTACAGTAAAAAGCTCTCACAAACAATCACATCTAACTTTTTTGCTACAGTAAAAAGTTCTCACTTAAAATTACATCTCAACTCAAATTAAAAACTCGAATCAGCGAACTAAACGGACCCTTGTGTACATTCCTTGTCTAATTAAAGAGGTTAAGGCATCAAATATTGAAGGTTAGTGCAGAGTGTTTGTATGATCATACTTTCTAATAAAGTTTAGACAACACGCTTCCCTACATTGGCTGCAAAATTTGACATTTGCTATGTAAACTAATCTGTGGTTCTTCCTACAATTTTAAGTGGTATATGCTTTAATGTCTCCATTTTTTTAAGCAAAGTCCTTGTGTGAACTGCTTTCTTTGTTCTGGTCAATGGTGGAGAATGAGAATCCCATATAACTTTCGCATATTCAGGCCACACATAATGAGGCCCTTACCAGGGCAACATAAATGGCACCATGGGGGGGCCATGAAAAAGCACATTATTTTTCTTGGAAAATCATTGTGTTCATGCTTTTTCTAGCTACCATGTTGGTTCCATGGATGAATTTTTAAAGTCACCGAAACACTTTATTTAGAGAGAATCTTGGGGGGGGGAAAAAAAAAGAAAATATATCTTACCAATAGGTAAAGTCATGATATGTTAGATTTTATCAAGTTTCGTTCGTTGAATAAATATGATGACTGAATAATACTGCATTATACTGTTAGAGTATGTTTTTTTTATACCCTTCTGCAAAATTCTCTGTTATTTTGTGGACAAATGTTTGATAAAGGTATGTGGGGATAAAAAAGGAAAAAAAAAAAAAGATGATGTACTCGCATTTACATAAATAAGGGGGATCCAAAATTACAGGCAATTCCACCCCATCTACTGCCTCTTTATCGGTACACAAGCTGCCACAACCCTTAAATGGGGTTACTTTTTAACTAATTATTCTTAAAGATGAACCACACTAAGTTATTTATAAAAATAAAAATAAAAAAAAGGAAAAGGGAAAATCCCATTTACAAGTGATCCTTTATAATACACTCTTTTGTCACTTTGCAAACAAATATCGCAGTACTTCTCTGACCCTTGTCACCACTAAAACTTGTAGCAAGGAAAACGACTTTTTTTTTTATAACATTACACTCTTTGCTCTTATTCTTCTTCTTCTTCTCTCCTCCTTTTAGACAGAGACAATGAAGATATGGTTTTGGCAGAAACGACCTTCTTCACAAGTAGTTTCCATCTCGAATCATCTCTCCTTTTCTCTTGCAACATTCTAAGCTTGAATTGCCTGTCCATTTAGCCAAAAACAAAACACCAATCAGTGCTATGAAAAGTAGGGCCCACCAACGGCTTCATAATTTACATGCAAACAAAGCAGAAAAAAGAGAAATGAAAAGAAACGACAAGCCAAACATGGTGGCCAAGGCCAACCAATGCCTCAGAAATGACATGTGAAAATAATTGATATTGGGTTTAAGGCTTGAATTAAACGATATTTATGAGCATAATCATTATCGGTCTCTCATATTCTATCTTTTCAATATAATAGACACTCACCAAACAAAAGAAAAAAAAATCCTTCCAACCTAAGAGATATTTATACCTGCCAGGGCCGGTTGTTAAGGGTATATTCGGTATGATAATGATCCTATCAACTTTTTCATTTTCTTGTAATGAATCAAAGAAATAAATAAAAGATTGATAAGGCCTGGAGAAAAAATGTGCACTTTTTTCTTTCCAGTGTTAAGAATCCTTATTTTCCGGCTTTATTGGCACGGTGTGATGTATCATGTCCTGTTCCTCTCAACAAGTGGGGTGTGCACAATCCCATGATTTTATGGATGAATCTTGTTGGGGAGATAATAAGCTTCTTCTAGACACGATTTTCAGAACCCAAGAAATTTTTTTTTTTTTTATGTATATACTTTCGAATATACAGCTTAAATGATTGTGACAGACCAACAGTCGCACCTACAAAAAAATATCAGTAGCATAGCAGGGATTCGTCGGGAAAAAAAAATGGCTCATTTGATTGACTTTTCCTGATTGATGATTGATACAACTTTATTGCAGTAAAATTAAATCACGTGAAAAGCACTTCAAAAAATCTTAGCAACCAGATGAGACAACTACATTAGACTTTAAATTCTTCCAAAAACCCACTACAGGCAACCAAAATTTGAGAATTATGATCCAATAGTTTTGAAAAACTTTATCAAAAACGACAAAAGAAGGTAAAGCAATTTGGCCACCATATGTTCATTCTAAACCCTTCATAGATTACCACCACAACAAAAAAAAAAAAAAGAAATTGTACCCTAAAAGCTCAAATAAAAGGTCATTTTTTTAATATTTTCCCTTTTCTTTAATTATAAATTTGGCATCAAATGGTTTTATATAGAAAACAAAAAAAATAGAAATGTTGATTTACCTGCAGAGAGGAACTCTGCATGAGTCGGATTGTTCACAGATGGACGAGTGGAGCCTCAGAAGCTGCCACATCCGCTTGCAACGTAAGCAACCTCCATTGACCCTCTTCTGACACGTGGCAAAGTGTTTAATTGACAGCTGGATAGCATAACACGTGGCGTATTTGCTGCATGGGCCTTTCTTCCTCTCGGGCTCCACGTCATACGGCCCAACACTCGTGCACCCTTCTGTGCATATGTGCTCCAAGCACTCCATGGCCTCGCTCAGCTGTAAATACAGGCTCTGTGCTTCCCTGTGCCTTCTTGTCCTCTTCCTCCTCTGTTTCCAAAAATAATTATTGCCCAGTTTAGTCATTTCACTAGTAATCACAAAAATCTAATCCGTATATCAACTTTAAAAAATCATAAAAATTTTTGAGGTTCATAAACGTTAAATTTTATTAAAACGGCACTTCTGAACGAAAAACATGTAAAATTAATAGAAACTGGTACTTTTAAACGTTAAATTTTATCAAAATCACACCACAAAACAACAAATATACAAAATTGATAGAAACATCTACCGTTCGAAACGGAACCTACCAAGTGTAAAAATCTCATAAACTTTGTAGTTCGTCAAAATTCAAAAATTTTTATGTGATGAACTAAGGAAATTACCGTTTCGGCCTCGTCGATGAACTGCAAGATTTCAAGCTCAAGCCAGGGATCGTGGTCTTGGAGGAATTTCCATCCCTCGGTGCTCTCCACGGCCTTGAAATGGTTAGAAACGAGCTTCATGCACTTGAGGTAAAGATCGGGCGCGTCGCAGAGCCTGGCAAATTGGAGGACGTCCACCACGTTGTCTGTCGTCAGCCGTTGAGCCAAGTGCTTGCTGCAGATCTGCTTCAGATGTGGGACCAGGTAAACATGGGACAGCGCCAGGAGGTGGATTCCATACTTCTCCAAATGCTCCTCCGCGCACCTGAACGAGGGGCATTTTCGTCATTCCAAAATATTCCCCCCGAAACCTAAAAAACGACAAAATTCAAGGCGAAATCCAACTTTTTTTCCTTTTAAAATTTGACCCATTTTTGTTAATACCGATAATTAAGACGAATTTTAATTTACACCGCCGCCAAAAAAGAGAGTTTTGGTTCCACCAAGGAAGCTTCTTGAATATTCTTCATCACGTAAAGAATCTTTTTTTTTTTTTACTTTTTATTTAAGCGTACAGAATCTACACGATCTTATTGCATCGACCGTTTGATTCAACGACGGGGAATCCGGCGGCCGAGATTAAACGAGGAAAATCACTGACCTAGAGGAGTAGAGGAACCGAACGAACGAAACGACGGCGATGCGAGGAACGCCGAGGATCGGAATGACTTTCTCGGAGCCCTGGTGCTTACGTGGCCGGTCTATGATGCTCTCGAACACCGGCGAAATCGAAGCCTTCAATAAATCGTAACAAAAAATGAAAATCAGATCTTTAAGAACTTTTTGTCGAAAAAATACTTTTTTTTCCTCAAATTACTGAAGATTTGGATTGTTAAGCTTACCAGAACGCTAGAGTGGACGGGGATTTTAAGTCCACCGGAGGTGAGAATACGGACGTCGGATTCCGGCAGTTCGCGGCGGAGATCGGACTTCACCGGAGAAATGCCGTAGAGATCGTCGATAGTGATTGAATCCGTTTCCATTTTCTTGAGAAAGAGAGAGAGAAATATCAGAGCTTGGACGTGGGAAAAAAATGGAGTCTTTTCGTGTGAGATTGTTTGTGACAATGAGAATAGGCGTTGGCAAGGAAGGCTCTTCTCTGTCTAGGTGCTTTTATAGACAGAGCAAAGAAGAGAGAGAAACAAACTCTAGAGAGAGAAAGTTAAGTCATTTGACAGCGAAGCGATGATGTTGTTTGGGTTTAAGCTGCGACGCGCGCACGGGAGAGTTGGTCAACGACAAACATATATATATATATATATATTTTGTTTTCGAAAATTAAAAGAATCACGTGTTTTTTAAAGTTATTGAAGATTGGAGATTTAGGAGGTGGATTTTCAACTTTCCGTCATTTTGAAAATCCAAGTCTAATGGAGGATTATTGCTTATACGACTTTTATTGTCATTTTATGGATTTTTAGATCTCAAGAGAATTATGCTTATGTGTATTGTGTATTATAGTATTATAGTATTAGCAAAATAAAAAGATTATAAGCTTCGAGAGCACAAAAGTATGTACCACTTCTATCTCAATTATGAAGGAAATTCTTTTCTTGGGAGAATGTAAGAAGAAAATGAACCAAAAGAATAATTATTTTTACAAGGAAAACAAAATGAACGTCACTAAGAAAACAAAGGTTTATATTGGAGATTAGTCCTATATTTTAGAAATTAAGGTGGGAAGAAAATGAACCGAAAGAATATTTATTAGTACAAAAAAAAAACAATGAACCTTGGTAACAAAACAAATGTTTATATTGGAGATTAGTCGTATATTTTAGAAATTAAGGTAAGAAGAAAATGAGCCAAAAGAATTATTACTAGTACAAGAAAAACAATGAACAATTAGTAACAAAAACCAAGGTTTTGATTGGATAATGGATATTAGTCCTATATTTTAGAAGTTACTAGATTCTTTTACCAAATTCCCTCCCACCATTTTTCAAACTTACTTCAACAAAATTCCACCAACTCATAAAACATTTGCATTTTTTTTTTTTTTACGTAAGATCAATGCATTTTGGAGTTAATACGCGCGTGGCGAACATTAAAATTTAGCTAAAACAATAACCAAATATCCATAAAATTTATCCCTGCCAACTAGGAGCTTTTAAAATTATTAAATGGATTTATGTGATTATATTAAACGGAAAGGATTCCCTTTTTGGATCTGATGTGGAAAGGATAGGATAAAACCATCCCACCAAAACGGGCTCAACTCTTCAAAAGGTACAGTTCATATTAAACGGCTCTTGCCTTTTGGTGCTTATAAAGAACCAATTTAAACAGTCCGACGTGTCACTTCGTTCTCATCCATTCCCAATCACCACCTCACTCCACGTGTCCGATGAGAAGGCGCCACATGGCAATATATCAGGTGTTGCCATCCCAGGGTGGCATTCAACAACTGGCGAATAGGTGGTGGACACGTTTTGATTTCTTTATTGGCCAGGTTTCTTGAGCTGACGCCATTGGTCCGTAGTCTAGAATTTAATCAAATAATTAAGACTTAAATTTGTGGATTATTAAATTAATCATCCAATCATATTTGTGTCAGAGCCGACTATGGTTTAAGGTCTACGGTGGTGCGCCGCGAAGCCGGATAGCACCTCACTTCAAAGCATTCATTTGTCAAAAAAAAAATAAAAATTGTTTTTTTTTTTTAATTTTTAATTGAGAAGAAAAGTTAAACTTGCATAGTTTTCCCAAATCTATTAAAGATATATTGTTGGTTGGATGGTTGTGGTCTCAAATTATCAGAACAGAAAAGGCAGTACTATAGACGTTTGGCATGACTCGGCTTGCTTTCTACTTTATTCTTCAATTGCCCAATTTGATAGAACATTGTCTAAAACGAAAATGTTATCTTTTTTTTCGTTTTTTATGGTGGGCCTATTTGTAACCGATGGAAAGTGGAAAAATAAAATAAAATAAATAAGAAACAAGAAAAAATGAATTAAACCGTGTGAGTGGTCCACTTTTTGGAAACTTTTTTTCTTTTTTTTTTTGGGCTGATCAAGAAAGGGTTTGGAAACTTGATGGATGCTTGACTTGAAATGTCTTTAACCAAAAGGGAATTGGCAAAAGCACTCATAAACTTATCTAAAAAATGGCACTCATGGTCATGGTGTACATTTTTTTTTTTTTTTTTGGTTTTGAGCCAACGTGAAGAAAATACGCGTGAAGGGAAACTTCTTTAAAGAGGCAATTTTCAATTTTGAAGGTTAAAGTATTAAGTAAACTATCTTGAAAGATTTTAGTTTCAAAATAAAGTGCATATATGTTTTATAGAACACATATGCAGAAGAAAAATCACAAGGTCTTTCCTTGGCCTTTCTTTTGTCGATAAGCTCATCATATAAAAAGTTGCATTTGGAAATTGTTATCAATAGTCTAATGAGTGTTGGGAGCTTCTCCATCAACGTACCAGTATATCAGATTTTTTAATTATTAAATTTACATAAAATTACGTAAAAACTAAAAAATATTTAAATTTAACAGTTAAAAAATTTGACCTATTAGTACACTGACGTACCAAAAAATCTCTTTTTCTTTTTTTTTTTCTGAAGCAACTAAGAACCCAGTAATTTTTAAAGGAACAACTCTTTTTTTCTTCTGTCTTCCCATTTAAGACTTTTCAGTATCAAATTACAATATGGTTTTTCTTCTTCAGTTTTCTTCTTTGTTTCCCTTATTGACTGGCCTACTCAACTCAAGAGCTATGGCCGGCTTAAACATCTAAATATTCAGTTTTCTCATATCTTCTCATTTGGGCTTTGAATATTTGAAGGGTCAGATGAAAGGTGTACCTCTTATCTTCATAAAGACTACAAAACAAACTTACCATCTCTCTCTCTCTCTCTCTCTCTCTCTCTCTCTCTCGGGCAATTATCACATAATCTAATGCTGTAAGATTAAAATTGGATGTAGAAAAATAATAGTTGAAACCAACTTGTCTATCAAATTTCAGAAACTCATGATATGGCAATCAAATAGCCATTAAAAAATTATAACTAGCGGATATTCGAATTGAGAAGATAAGTTTGCTTGTGTAAACATTATTTTAATTGCATACTATATTCGTAGACATAATCGACTACCCTTGTCTTTAGCACAAAACTTGACCATATGTGGCCCAAGTTCAACCCAAGTGGCAAATCAAAGAAAGAAACTCTTTAGTTTAAGATAGTTTATTAGCCTCATTTCAGGGGGGGAAAAAAAGTTTATTGGCGTTTTTGTGTTTATCACCTTACGTTTGCTTTAGACGGTTGATCGTCTTCCAATCCTTCTCTTCAACATCATCTGATTTTTTTTTTTCGATGGCGATATCTAGACCTTACTGGAAAAGTAAGTCTAGCACCTCACCTTGCCACACGCCAAAATGATCTCCACTACTAGTTTTGCATTTGGCATTAGAGTCTTCGTCCATGTAGACGAAGAGGTTGAAGCCGTATTAGTGGGAGACTTTGTTAGGGTTCCGTTATTTTTGCATATTAAATGTAGTATTCAAAATAACTTCACCTTAAATAGTACTTGTAAATAATACCGTATACGTGAATAGTGTCATATATGTGAATAGTGTTGTATAGATGAACAATATTATACGCAGTTGACAAAACCGATAGATTAACTATTGAATACTGAAAACAAATAAAAAAACACCAGAATTGATAACGGAGTTCAGTAAAATATTGCATACGTCTCCGGGGCACTGTAAACCACTCTATTTACTAAAGAGAAGAAAGATTACAAATTGGACATAAATTACAAAAGCCCACAAATTGGAAATCTAAAGAATTTCCTACAAATTTACAAAGGGGAGAAGCTCTCAGTATTTGGAATGCAAAACAAATGAAGGGAAGCCTGTAATATTCATAGCCTTTACCTCCCCCTTTTATACGTGAAAACCAGCTGTAAATAGCTAGGTTCACTTCCTAAAGTCAACACCGTTTTTAATGCTCTCCCTTTTCTTCTCCTCCCTCTCTGACCTTCTCTTTTAATTTTTAACATAAGTGTGCAGCCCATATTTTTAACAATAAGCCACTATATTAACTAACATCTCACTTTCTGGGTTTAGCTCCCGGCTGGACCGCTGGAGGAAGAGGGGCAAGGTATTAGAATTTCTTTTTTTTTTTTTTTTTTTTTCAGTTTTACCAATCTCATTATTTTACCTGTTTACATGACTACATATTATAGGACTTTAATTATTACAAGATAAATGCAGGCTATTTTAAGCTCATTATCCTAATTAGCACATACCACTTATAACCATTTGGTTTAACTTGTGCTTTCCGCCTTTTATTCAGTCAAAAATCAAAGACAAAAGAATAGTCATCTAGAGTACTTGAAGTCTATAAGTCTCAGATAGTTCAAGGATGTGAATGTGACCTATTCAACTCAGATTAAGGTTGGGCTTCTAGTTTCTACATCAAAAATGATATCTTTTACTTGTTTATTTAATGCGATTACTATCACGTTCTTTAAAAATTAGATAATTTGTCTATTGATGCCCCTTTTTTATTTATTTATTTATTCATTATTTTCTGAAAGTGCATTGCATGCATTCTTCAAGGATGATAAAAATAAGTCTCGTGCCTTGGTCAAATTATGTTTCGTGCAAAGTGGTCTGAGTCTGCGTTTGGTTAGTGAATTCGTGTCATGATTCAGATCATAGTTCATAGTTCGCTACAGTATTTTTTTTCACAAAAAATACGTATAAATTAAAAATAATTCTAAATCATGATCTGAATTTATGAACCAAACATCTACTATTCACAACTCACAAGACATATCTTGCAAGAATAAAGATATCCAAACTTATCCGAATATTGGCCCTGACATGGGTGGGCTGGCTTAGAACAAGACCAGGACAACACTCTTCGAAGTGTTGACATACAAGCCCAAACCTTAAGTTAAAACCTTTAAAATATATTATAAAGAGAATTACATATTATGCCATCAAAATTTAACAGTTTTACATTTATAAAATCTTTGTTAGTTTTTCATTAAAAAATAGTTTGGTACAATATCAAAATATTTTACTAGAATACTCTTCGAAGATGTTCGATCATCTTTGTCTAGAAGAGAAAATAATTTAATAA